ATTACATTTCCCTAAGTAAACTCGGTTTTGGGAACTGCAGGTCTATAGGACTAGCGAATCTTCTGTCTTCTGCAATCAAAGAGCAACGCCACACAGCTTTGTAGGGAAGGGATTGACATCTCCTGAAAAAAGCAGACACAGTCCCAGCTGGGCGCCGTGGCTCACACCTGTAATCCCAGCATTTAAGGAGGCCGAGGCGGGTGGATCACCTGAGGTCAGGAGTCTGAGATCAGCCTGGCCAACATGGTGAAACCCTGTCTCTACTGAAAACACAAAATTATCCAGGCGTGGTGGTCGGTGCCTGTAATCCCAGCTACTCTGAAGGCTGAGGCAGGAGAATCTTTTAGAATCCGGGAGGCGGAGATTACAGTGAGTCGAGATTGCGCCATTGCACTCCAGCCTGGGCAACAGAGCAACACTCTGTCTCAAAAACAAACAAACAAACAAATGTAGACAGTCCCATAGGCAGCTCGTTTTTGAAAAGGTCACTCTTGCAGAATTAAAAATTCACTTAAATGGGATAAGGTGGAGATTATGGTCTCTCTCAGAGCCCCTAAAGAACTGGGTCCTGGATACCACCCAGATCTGGAAGAAAGTCCTATTAGAGAAAGCTATGTTTATTAAAAAAAGAAAAGAAAAAGAAAGATAATAACTAACACTCATTGAGCTCTCATCATATTCCAGCCCTTATTCTAACAATTTTACAAGTACTAAATCTTGTCATCTTTACATCAACCCTATATAGCAGATACTATTATTATCCTTAATTTATAGAGAAGAAAACTGAGGCATAGGGAGGTTAAATAACTTGGTGAATGTCACTAGCTGATGTATAAGGAAGAGAATTAGAATTCCAGCATTCTGACTGCAGAAATGTCCTTAAATACATCATGTTAATACTCCCCCTAGATCAGAGGCAAGGAAGAAGAGCACGCCAGGCGTGATTCTATGGAGGGCTTTGGGCCTATACACTGGATTGGCATCTCTAGCTAGCAGCTATTTTTAAGTCCTTAAGTTCTACCCTTTCACCTCCATGGGACATCATGGGACTATGCAGTAGTCTGGGGACAACCAAGACTGTGAAAGCCAGTCATCTTTGAAGGTGAAGTCTAAGACATTTTGGTTACTCATGAAAATGCCACTCAAAATAGTCAGGAATCGTGAAATTCTACTAACACTAAAAAACAAGGTCACGAGATAAATCAAAGATTCTTTTATCTATGAAATATTCCTCAAGCCCATTTCAAGGACCAGCTTCTGTGCTTGCTGCTAGAAATATAAGACAGAAAGACACACAAATGCATGCCTATCTCCAAGGGCAGCAAGTTCTGTGGAGGCTACAAAGATGTATAAAAAAAGGTGAATGGTCACAAAGCAAGTAATTGGCATAATCACAGGTAGATGCATAGTATGTTAAGGGATTAGACAGGAGGGGTACCTAACCTATGCAGAGAAGGTATACTACGATATAGGTGCTAACCCACTAGACCTAGCCAGCATCTCCACGATGGGGAAAGGTTTCACAGGCAAACAGACAAGAACAAGCAGGTGCATAGAGGAGGCTCACTATTGCAAGACAAACCGCTGTGTGTGGAGATTTAGTAGACAAGGCTAGAAAGATAGGATGGAGTGAAGATTATGAAAGACTTTGAACTTTATGCCAATCAAATGCAAAGTAAAGTGATTAGTTTTACATTTAGAATTATTTATAAAGGAGGTCAGATTAGGTAGGAAGTACTTGCAAAGGTCTGGCTAGAAGGCAAAGAAGGCTGATTTTGGTGAAAGGAACATAGAGTGGAGAAATGGTAATTGACATTTAACATACAACATTGACTTTGAAGTGGACTGGATATGAGAAAAGATTCTCAAGTTTCTGGCTTGGGATCCTACAGGCCTCTAGTGTGTGGGAAGAATGGAGGAAAAAAATAGAGTTTAGAAGCAAGATAACAAAGTTGGGCTGGTTGTCATTGAGTTTGAGATTCAATGGTTTTTCATGAGAAGCAGTCTATAGGTGGTTGGAAGTGCAAGTTTAGAGACTAGCAGACTGACATGATCTGTGGGTATGCAGCTCATAATTGATGAAGGAAAAGGAAACCTTCAGTATTAACAAGATCACTTAGAAGAGTGTGTAAAAGGAAGGGTGACTGGGAGAGGAGAGAGAAGGAGACAGGGAAGAGCAGGGAAGACCAGGGGAGTAGACTAAATAATTCTGGGAACAACAGCTTTTAAGAGTAGGGACACAGTTTTTGACAGAAACTGAGAGTAAGCAGACTAAAGGAAAAATAATGGTAACAGGAAGCAATGTCAAATTAGAGTTAAGTGAGAAAAAAGTATAATGTATTTGGAAAAAAGTGAAGGAAAGTATGTATTTAAGTTTGTCATGAAGAATATACTTTAATTCCTTTAAGAATTGTATTTATGAGTATCCAAGTTGGACTAGAAATCAGATATCCACACCTTATTTTTTTAACCATTATTAAAAATAACAATGCAACTAAAAATCATATGAATTATCAGGAATATTAATTATTATATCACTTCAATTAATGATTAATTTACCATGTACTTTTAATATAAAAGCACCTCATGTTATAAAACTTGAAGATCAATAAATCAGAAAAAAATCACTATTTAGATTTTGAGGCTATTCATATGGAGATTATATTTTCTAAAATTAAATTTATATTTATTTTAAAATTAAATACACGTTTATGTAATTGAACGATTTTTGTTGTAAGTATGTATTATCCAGAGATAAAAGAAGGAAAAAAATGATAAAGTTATATGTGGGAAACTGGTACATTATACTTTCTTCTAAGCTTTGAAGTTTTCATAAGAGTTCTGATTGCTTCTGCAGGAAAATAAAGAAAAACAAAACAAAATATGTTTTACTTTGTGTAATTATAGCATCTCAGACCTATGTAAATAAAGACCTCTGTTATGGAGTGTTATATTCGTATGAATACTGGTGTAAGAAACATTGCCTGATAGGATTTGAGTTTTCCTAGTTATTTTGAACATCAGGAAATCATGCCATTTTCTCTTTAATACTAAATATAACAAAGGTTTCTTTAACTATTCTTTTAAACAAGAATGGTGGATAAAATTATTTTTGGTGGGAACACATATCCAACACCATAATGCAAATTGAAATTATGTAAAGAAATTTGGATAAATTCATTAACACTACATAATTCAAGCACAGATTTCAAGATTCTTAATTTGACTCACAGTGACAATTTTTGTCAGTCTTTGTAAGTTTACGGTCTAGCCACTAGGTGGCGATCAGAGCGAAATTTTGCTATATTTTATAACTGAAAATTCACTAGTTGTGTGGTCTGAACTATAATATTTTTACAACTTATCTTGTCATTTAATTTGAAGGATGTAGCCTACTCTCTTGTTGAATTATTGATATAGAGAAGAATAGACATATACTTTATCAGATGAGAACATGATGTATAACCAAGGTTTTTCTCAGAAATGGTGAAGTTTCTGTTCTAGTAGAGTCCAGGTTTTTGGATATAGAGTAATTGGTAAATACAAGATAGATCTTGTATATCATGTTGGAAGTCACTGAAGTGATATATAGAGAAACTATCAGATAAAGCATGATTATAATTTAATAATTTAATTATTAATACCTTGATTTAGGAGAGGTTGAGCTATTAATGCAGTATGTTATAATGCATTTTATCCTCATAACACACATACACATTAGGAAAAGAGAAAAAAGGAAATCCTGATGCTTTCAGAAAACACTGTAGGTGCAGAAGCCACCTAAGCTGCATGAATCATATGCCTAGAGCCAAAAAAAAAAAAAAAACCTTTGGCCGGGCGCGGTGGCTCACACCTGTAATCTCAGCACTTTGGGAGGCCAAGGTGGGAGGATCACTTGAGGTCAGGAGTTCAAGACCAGCCTGACCAACATGGAGAAACCTTGTCTCTACTGAAAAAAATAATTAGCTGGGTGTGGTGGCGCATGCCTATAATCCCAGCTACTCCGAAGGCTGATGCAGGAGAATCGCTTGAACCTGGAAGGCGGAGGTTGTGGTGAGCCAAGATCGCATCATTGCACTCCAGCCTGGGCAACAAGAGCAAAACTCTGTCTCAAAAAAAAAAAAAAAAAAAAAAAAAAAAAACCTTTTGCCATTATATTGTACATATCAGGGTTTCTTTTCCCCCTTCAGGGCATAACGCAATGATTTCTACTTCTAAATATACACTTAAATATATATTTTTAAAAAAATATTACTGCAGTATCTACATCATTATGTAAGTCATTAAAATGTATTTAAAGACAATACTAACTGAAACTATTTCCTTGGCCAAAAGTAAGGGCATTTTTAATTTTTAGAATTTTAAACTTGGCCAAATTGTTTTCTAACGATTGAAATATCTCACATTTACACTAGCACTATATAAGTATTCCTGCTCCCAAGACATCACCAGTAGTGCATGCAGACTTATAAAAATATTTACCAGAAACATAAGCTCCTTAATCAGCACCCATGGCCATTCACTTCCATTTCTCTGCACATCTGCCATGTGTCCCATGCATGCCTCATACCAGACTTTCATGACCCTGTACTTTTGGACATATGATTCTTTCTGCTAAGGATAGTCCTTTCCCCCTTTTCTTTGCTTGTGAAATTTTTATCATGACAGCAAAACTTGACCTCCTTAGTCAGGGCTTTCCTCAAATCCCTGGCAATGTCAGATACTGTCTTCTGTGTCCTTACAACACTCTCTTCATATCTCCATATAGAATGGAGAGAATGTCATCAATATTTGCACAACTTCCTTCTAAAAGTCTGTAAATCCTATGGCTATAGGAATATATTCTAACTGACAGATAGTAAACTATGTGGCACCCTATCGGCATCCAATATTTATTTACTTATTAAATCAGTCAATTAATTTGTTAACTTAAAAAGCAATTTTAATCATTAGTATGGTTTTTAGGAAAGGAGAATATTCTTTATGAATATTTAACCCACCTGGTACAAAATGAGAATTGTATTCAGGAGGAGCATCAGGCCTTGGATCTGGTGGTTTTGTTTGATTTTCCATTTCACCTGCAGGCTGTTCAGGGGCTGTGGGCACTACAGCTTCAGGAGAAGAGAGGGAACATGACTTACACAGGAAACAATAATATTATGACAAAATGTATTCTTTTTTTTTCTTATTGGTATGCATCAAAAAATATAATCAACTGGAAATACACTCCTATATTTCCTATAAAAAGAATTCATCGTATATGAGACACTACCTATTAATAAATTTCATGAATTTTCAAACTGAACACATATTTAAAAATAGAACTAAACAATTATATTGTGCTTGTGATCAAAGCAATGAGCTTTTATACCAGTTGTTCAAATGCCCTGATGCTAACTCTTACCTACAAAGTAAATTCCTGGCATAAGAGCAAAAATTATTTTTCCCATTACATAATATGGAGAACACAGGCATTTAGAGAGTGAAGCTCATTTTTTTCCTAATTCTTTTTGGAAAGTGCTGTCTAAAAAGATTCACAACGTAACACCATAAACACAAAATGGTTTAATAAACAGTGGTGTCACACATAACTGAATTAGCAATAGTTTAGTCTAGATCTCCAGTGACTCACATTTTCACTGTATTCTTTCTGAAAGCAATCTAGGTCACAGTAATTGCTGCAAGGGAAGTACTGAAGTCAGTTTCATGATGTTGCACCTTGTCTTCTTATTGAGATTAGAGACTAATTTCTCTCTGAGCTTACTACAAAAAAAGCTGAGTTTCCTAAACAACCAGTTGACTTTTATCTCCTAGCAAACAAAAATCCATAAATGTGATTTTTCTCTTATTATGTAAGCTACTAGAAAATACAAGGCCTACTTTCACCCTCCTCTACCAAGGCAGGGCCTTGCCACAGGCTCTTTATTACTACAACCTCTCTTTGCAGAACCGTTTTTCTAATCTTGCTTTTTTTTTTATTACCTAATTTTCCCCACAAACTTCAAAGATTATTCAGTAGATACATACGCCACTGTAAGTCTCTTTTAAATCTTTTTCTGACAATGATAGGAACGTCTATATACATAAATAATAAATATATACATACATATATACACACATATATACACAACACACACACACGCATATTTATATTCGCCAAATGTTAAACAAAAAAAATCAAAATGAAATAAAGTCCCCCTTTAGGGAAAATAATCACAAAATTCACATTTGAAAATAAAGCATATTCAAATTTATTCACAAAAACTTACCTGACATTTTGAAGAATTCCAATTAATCCTGAAAAATAAAAAATGTTAATGCCTTTAAAATATATACACAATACATAGTATTACTACTCAGTGACACAGGTAAGGACTTCTGTAATTTTTTTTTAACCTCCAGTTACTTTACATTTGTCCCTTCATTAATTCAACAAATACTTATTGAGCACCTATTATGTACGAGGCACTAAACAGATGTTGAGAGTACAGCAGTGAAGCAGACACTCTGTCGCCTACTGTGCTGCAGTTTATATTGTAGTAGGATGAGATTTTTAAAAACATGTCAAGAAATGTTGAAGTTTAACTTTATAGATAGTACAGTTATGAGGAAAACAATGTAAGAGGCTTAAGAGAAACGTGGATGGTTAGTTCTAGGAGAGTCAGGGAAAGCCTGCCTCAGGAAGTGACCTTTGAGCTGTTTGAACTATGAAAAATAAACATTACACTACAATTGTGGGAAGAGAGTTCTAGGAAGATAGGAAATTAGTGCAAAGGGTCAGAGATGGCAGTGAGCTTGAGATATTGACGGGAGGAAAAAAGAAAGCAGTTAGGAGTGACTGGGCCACTGTGAGTGAAGGGAACTGAGGTAAGACATGGAGACAGAGAGGTCTGATCTCATCTGAAGGCCATGGCAAGGTGGTTGGCATTTTCGGTATTTGGTACTGGGAAGTCTGGAGGATTCAGTCAGTGGAGTGATCAGATCTGATCGACACCATACACCGAGAGAAAGAGTAGAAGCAAGGAGCAGTGAGGGATGGCAGCAGCAATCCAGGTGAGAGCTGACGCCGGCTTAGACAGCGGAGGTGACACTGCAGAGGATTAGGAGTGGTCAGGGGCATGACACGGTTTGGAAAGCAGGGCCTCCAGGAGTTGCTGATGGACTACGGTAAAGAGAGGAGTGGAAGAGGATTCTGAGTTTTAGCCCAAGGTAACTGAGTTGATGGTGATGCTATTAACAAAACTAGAGAGGAGGATAGTGGGGATGAAGGAGGGTAAAAATTGAAAGTTTAGACTAGGACATGTTATGTTTAGGAAGAGACCAAAAGAAGTTAAACATTTAAATTAAAAATATGTATAGGAACATTATGAGAATAACTCAGAGAAGGAGACTAGAAGTTGAGATGAGATTTGAAACAAGGAATGAGGGTGAAGGTAAAATTTTCTGAATTCAATCAGGCAAAAAAAAGTGGCTATTATTAGAGAAGGGAATTTCAGTATATCTGAATTTCTGAGTTCTGAGTAATGACAAATAACAAAAAGAATATCAACAAAGACTATAATTTACTGAATGCTTATCAAATGTTAGGCAAAGGGCCCGATGCTTTTCATATATCTCTGATTATAACAACTCTCTAATGTGTAAATGGTCAAATCTGCTAAAGGCAAGTGCTTCTAAATCCTAAGCCTATGTACTTTTCAATATGTGATCATGTTTATAAGAATGCAGAGTCATTTGTGTCGTCCAAGTGTAGTAAAAAAGTATCAAGTTAGAGTAGGTCAAAGAGGCATTCAAACACCGTATGAGGGAGTCATCAATATGGGCACTGAGCTGACTCAATGAAAATTGCCATAGTATGAGCCAGTATGCAGATTCCCAGCTGAAATGATTGTCTTGCCAAGATGGGTGAAAGTTTAACCAGTCTTGGACCATCTCCACTCACCTCTGGAGCTGGAGTTTGTTGTACAGTGCCCTATGTGTCTCGAAGCTTAAAAAATATATTTTTTAAAGATATGTATTTATTTTCATATAATATATATTATGTAAAAAGTTTTAAATATATACTTAATATATGTTATATACATTTTTACATTTATATTTTAAATATATTAAACAATATTTAAATATAAAATTATACACATAATATATAATTATACATAATATAAATGTGTGTGGGGGTGTGTGTGTGTGTGTGTGTGTGTATATATACATATATATATTTATTTATTTATTCTGGGACATACCAAAAAGTCAGACCCAATTCTGGGCCAGCCAAGGGAGTTCAAGGAGTTAGTTATATTCCTTAATGATGGTAATCCCTGTTGTTGAGGAAAATGACTACAGCTTTCCAGAACTTCAGACACTCCTAGGTATGTACCTGCAAGTGACACTTGCACATGTACACAGGATAGAGACAAGAATGTTCTTGATAACACTATTCATATTAAAAGGAACGAAAACTTGCCTAATGTCCATCAACAGTAGACTGAATAAATAAATTCTGGTACATTCACATGATATAATAGTATACTGTAGTGAAAACAAATTACAATTGTGCAGGTGGAGAGAGATGAATCTCAAAATTACAACACAACAGAAAAAGCAAATCACTGGAGAATACATGTAGTATGATTCCACGTAAGAATGTTCAGTAGCAGGAATTCTAAACAAAGCACTTTATCTGATAAATACATAGAGGAAAACTTTATAACAAAATGCTAGGGAATTAAAAACATAAAATTTCAGAAAAGGGTTATGTGTAAAGAAGTGATGAGGGGTAGCTGTTTAGTTGTGGCCCACAAGGAACCCTAAGTTCCTGCCAATATTAAAGTTCTATTAGGGTGATAAGAACAAGGCTAATGTCTTGTCATTAGTTTTTAAAAGGTATGTACATGTTTAAATATGCATATTTATATGTATGGCATTATTTCACAATAAACAAGAACCATTTGACAGTTACATGTTGAGTGTCAGCTTCTTCCAAGTAATGGTCTGTTGTTACAGTATAGGTTACAAGCTATCAAGGAGCCACAGTGGAAACTAATTACAAAAGATAATTAAATGTCTTAGTGAAAAGAGGCCAAATTATTATATCTATCTATCTGTCCACCTATCACCTATCTAGCTATCTATAGTGGCAAACTTTTAACAATTGCTGAATCTCAATGAAGAAATGAATTTGAATATTAATTTTTAAATATTTAATTTCAAAATAAAACTTGGAAAAAATATAGAATTCTGGACTCCAAACCTGAAGTAGCACCTCTGGGGTCCAGGCCTAGAAATCTTTACCTTTAACACAATTCCAGGTGATCCTTATGATCAGGCATGTCTGAGACTAACTCAATGTAAACCAAAATAACAGTTCTCAACAATGCCAGGCGTTATTAAGTGTTCAAATCTAATTCAAGTAATTGAATGATAACTTGAAAAAATCAGTAAAATTTTAGAAATATTTAAAGTATTACAAAGCAACTAATCTCAATGAGTTTAAATAAAAGAAAAATACCTACATATTACCTCACAAGCTTCAGATACTTGAAGTCTGCTTACCTTCCATCTTGTCTGAGCTGCTAGCATTTTTTTCTCACCACCCTATATTCTATTCCTTTTGTTATAAAATTTTACAACATAGTTTTAGCCAAAATACTGTGCAAGACAGGATAATTTCCAGTTGGTAGAAGCATGAGTGCTAACTTAATCCTCCTTTAATATTCAGTGAATCGCTTCAGATTTCCCTATCACTTAGCAACAACAAAAAGTGCCTTACCTTGAAAAAACTGATTTTTGGCTTTATATCTGTCAGAAACCAGATTGGGAAACTGAGCTGTATCTCCATAACAGTTTAGTATTACAAAGTCTGGAGAGCTATTAATTGCAGAGGCCTTGGTATTTTAGGGGCATGATATGCATACAGGGGAATCTGGGCTGCCTGGAATGTAATTAAGAGAGAAAGAAGACATGGGCTAGACAGGACAAGGTTGGTGAGATTGAGGTTTGCTGCCTTGCAAGGCAGCCCTGATATCTTAAATTGCATCCTATAGCAAGAGTGCTGTATCTTACTATATGCTATTAAATGGATATCACTTGCAGCACCCAACAAGCGCAGCTGTGTTACATGCTCGCTTGTCAATTTCACCATTGTAAACAGTGACACACTCTCAGAACTCAATAAAGCCACAAGTTCTAGAACTCACACCAGGGGTATTTGAAAATTCAATCGCAAAACTCAAAAGGAAGATTAGATCTTTACAGTAGAGTATTTACTGGAAGCTGTCCTGGCCTCTCCACAAGGGAGGCTCTGGGCAGTGAGAATCTCCAGGCACAAGGCTTGGAAATGGCATATGCATTCTAAAACTCTGGGTCGTGTCTGTCTCCAGTGCCTTTAACCCTGCAAGGAGAAAAGAAAGCAGATCAATGAACAATTCCTTCTGCTTCTTAGCAGGGACAAGAAAAATATCTCGCTCCTGCAAAGTCCTATATCAGCTACCATGATATCTCTTTTGTATTTATTATGTAACTGATAGGAGATTATAGTCTTTGTCCATCTTAATCTTCCCTTAAGAATACCTGGAGAAAAGCAGAAGATTGTGTGACTACAAATAGTGTATTCCAGCACACTTCAGACAGTATGGACCGTGGTCCAGAGTGTGGGTTCAAATCTCAGGTCTTTTTCTGATCGTTGTGTAATCTTGAGTGACTGATCTGTTCTTAGGTTATCCTGTTAATCATGGGGATGACGATGGCTGGATCAACCTCACAGAAATATTGTGAAGACTAAAACAATTACATTTGTATAGCACTTAAAACAGTGCCTACCGTATAAAAAAATCTTCAATAAACTTGCATTATTACTACTATTTCACTAGTAAGACATACTAACTGATGAAGAGACCAAGAATAAATGTGTGTGTTTAATAGTGGTATTGAAAAAAAAAAAAAAAAAAAAGCTGTCTGCCAGTCAGCAACTCAGCACGTATTACTGAGCATCCATATGTAAGATTCTACTCTGGGTTCTGAGCTGACACCACTAATTCCCATCTTCTATATCCAGTAATGTTCTAGCAAAGGGGATTTCATGAGCACTGTTTGTAATGAATTTCAAAGTCGAAGGAGTGGGGAGAAAAAAAAAATGGAGACATTGCCAAAGGGCTTTTCCTATTTGCAGCTAAATGAAAGACAAATGAGTTAGGGTACACCTTAAGTGGCTACAAAATTTGCTTTCAGTTCAGGATAGTGACATTACCTATATTATGCAGGCGATGGATGTCCTTTAGTAAACTTTAAAAAGATCAGAAAATTAAGATTATGTTAATGGCATATTCCAAAAATTAAAATAATATAGTGTTCATTATATCAACATATAAATATTAAGGTTTTTAAAAATAATTTTGTACTGTGAAAATTGAATATTTGTTTATACAGTACTTCATGGTATAAGATGCAACTGAGCTAATATATGTGTAAGTAATTAGAAGTAGTAAAACACTTTATTTATAAGAAAGTCTTTAGGAAACTAAATAAAAATATAAATATTTTTTAAATGTTTACATTTTATAAAACCTCTAATATATCACAAGTATCTAGGCTGGGTGAATATAAGTGCTAATAGGTCTAAGAAAATGTATACACCTTGCTTTAAAAAGAAGTATCTACTAGACGTTGCTAAACGTCTGATGTATTGATTATTTTCTTCTGTCTCTATAGAAAGTGATAGCTAATCAATTTTAGTTGTTACATGTAACATACTATTGCATAAAAGAGAATTATTCTGGTCTTTGCTCTGGGTTCTGGGAAAGCAACTTCTAAACTCTTAGAATTTGCAAGTAATAGCAGTGTTTCTGTTTTTCTTGGTGGGTCCTTGGACCATACCTGAGATTTTGCTAAGGTGACAACATAATAGGGAGGCCGATCATGCCAGAAAGAATCATGATGTGATTAGAGAACGGGAGCTTTGAGTAATGTCATATTTGCCTGACCTCCAGGGAGGTGGGGGCCTTGAGACTGCGTTCAGTCCATGAAGCCAATAATTCAAGTAATCATGCCAGTGTAATGAAATCCCAATAAAAAACCTGATCTAGTTAGCTTCCCGGTTGGTAAACACATCAATGTACTGGGAGTGTGATGAATCCTAACCCCACAGAGAGAAGGCATGAAAGCTTTGTGTTCATGACCCTCCTAGGCCTCACCCCATGGATCTCCTCAACTGACTGGTCCTGATTTTTATCGTTTATAATAAAACTTTAATCGTAAGTAGAGCACTTTCTTGAGTTCTGTGAGTCATTCTAGGAAATGATCAAACCTGAGGGGTTGATGGGAACACCTGAATTTGTAGCTAGTTGGTCAGAAGTGTGGGTGGCCCGGAGATCCTCAAACTTGTCTTAAGTGAAGGCAGTCTTGTTAGAAAGGAGGCCCCTAAGCCTGTGGAGTTGCAAACTCTGGGTGTTTAGAGTCAGAATGAATTGCAATACTGTACTTAGATTGCTAAAAATAGTAATAATAATAATAATAGTAATTGTGTAATGGTTACAATGGTACACACACATACATATTTCTGATTACAAAAGTAATATGTTTTCATTTTCAGAAAATCAAGGAATAAAAGTATAAAAATGTGACTATACCCTTAATTCAACTTTCTCAAAATAACTCTTCTTAAAATTTTGGTGGATTTCCTGTGTGCATGTGTGCATGTGTGCAGGTTTATGTTTCTATGTGTATGCATGCAGGGATAATAATAAATATTCTTAAAAACATATTGTGAACTGATCACATTCCTCCCTGGAAAGTGGCCCAAGGGGAGATCATATTTAGAAAGGGAGTGCTGGGGTCTTTGCCATCCTACTATGGCTCAACAAAGTCACTGGACCAAAAAGGAAATACTATTGTCTTTTTGTTGCTTGGAGGTGTTACTGTGTAACAGAGAGAGTGAGGAGAAGCAGAAGAGGTGGGACAGTGGAGAGGGAGCCTCCTAGTAAGGACACTGAGAGAGGG